CTCTGCTCCCCCTACGCGCCTCGTCACTGTGGGGAGTAGAGCATTCAGCCGCTTTGCTCCCCACCTCTGGAATTCTCTTCCCCCTGACCTCTGCACCATTCACTCTCTCCCACTTCTTAAATCAAAACTCCAAACCCACCTCTTCAGACAAGCTTTTACTAACTAGTTTCAAAATCATTGTTTTAATTTTTACATCATAGTGTTTTTATACATTTCTGTAAAGTGTTGATCTTGTTTTATTTTTTTCCATTGCTGTAAAGTGTCCTTGGGTGTTAAGAAAGGAGCTTTTAAATAAAATGTATTATTATTATTACTTTTCTTAGAATTAATCCATTAATATGAGGTGATTGACCCTTGATTATTTGTCAAAGATGGCGTGATATTTAAAGATGCTGCATTTCATACATCCAAATCAGGCACAGAGCTGAGAAAAAGAAAGTATCTGTCTCAGTTTCTCTCCTGAGAGTTTGGTTTTACTCTATAAACATGTCCTTGAATCAGACGGTACATCTCAGTCAAGTCTGGAGTCTCCGTCTGCCTCCGACCTGCGCTCTGACCTTCCTGCAGATAAGCTAAATGAAAAGAGCACCAGGACAGATACATAAATAAATAATGCCAAAGTTGCTGCTGGTATTCTGAGCGGTGATGGATGGGAGGTCTGGGACAGTGTGTGGGAACGTGGCAGGCTGAAAGGCACTAGAGCTGACAGCAAGAGAAGGCTACAGCTTTACCCTCATAAGACGGTGACGTGTGATTGGCTGAAGGCTAAAGTGGCAGATATCAAGGATTTATTCCTGTCTAAGTGTCAAACTCACGCTGATTCCCCATCTCCGTTCAGACATTGCACATTTATATGAGTAATGTGAGAGCAGAAACGCAGAGTGACTTTTCATCAAGTTGTATTTCACGAGTTCAGATGTGACTGATGCAGAAACCAGATCAGGGTAGATGAATTTTCCTGCAGAAGGCTGAAGCAGGAGAACGGAGAACAATGGGGCCATCACTTCATTCTGTATCAGATTTCTGTGGACTGTGCCAAGCCTGGCAGGTGACCGGGTCAGATGTGTGACACTCACAGATCACCTAAGCTCACTGACTGTTGTCATGCCAATAGAAGATGTGGCCACTCGGCCGCGAGTACTTATGCCTTTTAGTCATACTTGTAAATGAGGAAGAAAAATTCTGTTCATTAAATTCATTAAAAACATCTCTAATGACACATCAGAAACACCCACTCACCTCAGATTAGCCATTAGCTCACTTGGCCAATCCAAACTAATATCTATTTCTCCAAACTGAGGCTGTTCAAAGAACTTTCCACAACAATAGCAAATAAATTGTTTGCAGGAACCTACTTCAAATGCATCAATCTGATCTAATGAAAAGCTGTCAGATTTGAAAAAACAGTTTAAAAATTTATTCCTGAACTGTTCAAATCAAAGTACTTTATTCAACCTTATTAGTGACCAGCATGTTCTTTGCATGCTTAAATAATGAAAACATCTTGCAATCTTAAATAACTATAATAAAAATACTAAAGGAATAGAATTAGCATCAGTTTAAACCAGATTTATCCAATTCATACTTTGACAAGTAGGCAGAGTGCTAAATGTTTTTTATTATAAAGGCAAAAAATGAAAAATGTCACATGATTAGTGATGAATGAAGAGTTATTACTTAATCATTTGAGGTAATCGAATGATGCATGAGATTACTTTTGCACAAGAGGCAGTAACTCAGGAGAAGTGCACAACACAAAACACAAGAACACTTCTGTGATAATTTTGCAGCTGCACGGGTTTAATCAACACTCACAACTCAAGCAGCTGCTTTCCTCCCAAAATCTTTTTGTTTTTTCAGATTTTGCCACAATCCATTATGATTTTTCAGATCACTTAAGGTTGCAATATTATTAAAATCTAATTAATTTAAGTGAAGCAATAACATTTTAACATATAAATAAACAAACAAAAATACATACATAAATATTACATAAAGATTCAGGCCTCACAGGTGCTAGGATGTTACCATAGTGACTTGATTTGATTGTGCAAATGAAATGAAGTTTGCCAACTCCTCCCTGAAGTTCAAACAGATGAACTGAAGAGTGCCCTAAATAAACACAGAAGAGCTCTCTGTGAGCGAATGTTTTTGTCACAACAGTAAACCAGTGTAATAAATAGTTTGTGGGAAAATACAGAAACAAGTCTCAGAAATATATTTGCTGATACTTATTTTTTTATTCATTTTGTTTAGTTATTCATTTATCTATCTGTAATAAACAATTATCATTTCATTGATATTATGTGATTGTGTCCTTAAATGTCAGCCCCAACAGGAGGCAGCTCGCCACTCTGAAGTTGCAAGTGGAATAGTCTGGCCACAGAGGGTAGTGGGGGTCTGTAAAGGGTGATTTTAGCCCATACTGGCTCAAGAAAATGATTTAAAAATATGGAAAAAGTTGCATCATATCCTTTTACCACAGTCTGCATGGCTGATCTGATCAAGACCATGACTGACAGCTAACACTGGTGGTAACTGGTCACCATTACTCCCAGTTCCCAAACAGACAAACAAACAAAGTAATGTGCTAATCTGTGCAGAAATCAGCTGCAACAAAATAAATAATCCTGCTGGGTGAAATTGAAATGTTTAACCTCAGAGCACATGAAAGAGACAGAGCGAAGGAGACATGGAGCTCTGAAGACAGTTTAAGTAGATCTGACCTTGGTAATTTCATGCTGTTCCACACACGTTCTTAAGAGCGATTAGACGTAAAAGCACTCAGTCTGAGAGAAGGGAAGCTGTGCAGAAAGGCCTCCAGTTTGCTTCACCTGAACATGAAAAGGTCTTTTTCTTCACAGACAAGAGATGTAAGAATATTTACAATATTTTGGTAAATTAACAAAAATCTGTCTGTCTCACATCTTTTAGTTTGTAGACTTTTATTTCTAAGAGAGCGTCAAAGAAAGGAAAAGATTTGGGCTAAAAGAGGTAATAGTTTTGAAGAATAACGATCATTTTAGAGTTTTATTTTAAATGTTTTAGAGAAAAAATGGATCCAGAAAACAAAATAATTAAGGGAGCATTACATGCATTAAAGCACACTGATTGTTATTTACCCATTAATCTTTCGTTTTCATCACTTAATCGATTCACTTCTTCTGCAGCTTTTAAACCCGAGTACACACACCACTGTACTAATTAACAGAGTAACATAAATGACCGCTCACATATTCAAAATCTGTTGACAAACACAGAATAAATTTTTTATAAAAATAGTGAAATATCAGTAAGGTAAGGGGTAGTGTGTCATGTTTACTGTTATGAGAGATCACAGTGAGCCCTGATTGGTTGACATCCCATGAGGCCAAATAAGCACCCTGCCACATGAGCATCAAAATGCAACAACTACAAATAGTGTAATATGCAAATGAATTCCTGAAAAGCTGAAAACAATTTCCCTATCAACAACAATTTGGTGAAACAAGAGAGAAAACTTGTCTCCACGTCTCAGGAAACCATCAAAATAAAAGCATCATTTCAGTTTTAAACAGGTCTCAGAAAATTTATTTCAAGTGACTGAACTGTCATTTTTATAAGTTTCATGGTTAATCGCAGTTTAATACAAACAGTATTTTTAATAAGACTCTTTTAAGCTGTCTCAACACTCCAAAAACCCTTCTTGTTACTCCCACAGACATCCCTTTTCTTTAAAATGTTGATATTTTTGTCTTCTTTCACTTGGTGAGCCTTTTGTTGCTGTGATTTCCCTGAAACTCCTCAGGCACACAGAACTGACATGTGACCATCAGACACTATCCCACCTACAACTCAGAAACAGTTTTTGAGTACAGTTAATTGTTTTTGCACAGCAGCTGTTAGTTTGGGGCTTAACCTCTTATCTATGTTTCTGAGTCCTTGTATAAAATACAGTCCTGAAAAGGGACACAGGCATGTTGTGATGAGCCTAATGAGCCACTGACAGCAGCTTTAACATTTCTTTTTAAGCGACCTATAGTTTATTCAACAAAATGTACGCATTTTGTCATACAGATGACTACAAAGGAATGTCATAAATTATTTTATAGAAGAAAGCCTGTCCTCTCTTTAACGCCACAGCCTGAGTGCATTTCCCCGAGGGGTGAGACTCCGAGCTCCTCTAATGAATACCTTGGCCTTTCATTTAGAGACACCTCACTGATCACTCATGGAGCCTCCTGCAGGGCTTTTAATGCTCCATCTAGTCCCATCAGAACTACCTGTCGTGTTTTTTCTCTGCCAGAGCAACAAGTCCAGAGCCGCCTCTAAAGGCTATAGTTGAGCTAGAGACAGCAGAATTTAATTAACTCTCCGTTAAAGCCTCCTCCTCCTCCTCTCACTGCCTAACATGCCTCTCCTCTTGCCTTCGTGGACCAGATGGGCGGAGTGAAAGCAAAAGGTTTGCGATTACCTTTGGATCAGGCTGCTCCAAGTGTGAAATTATTGTCACGGTTGAATGATGTAGCTGTAAGCCTCTAAGTAACTGTTTGAAATTATGCCAAAAAAAAAAGGGGTCTTTCAGAGAGGGAGACAGACATTTAGGGGTGATTAGTTACTGGTGATCACAGATTACCTCCCTCGGTTCCCCGAGATCACTTTAATTTTATTTTCATGACTGTTTGGGGCATTTTCTGCTGCGGTAAGTTAGGAATTGCTGTGATCCATGGACAGCTGCCTACAAACTGGTGCTTTTGCATCTCGGCTAATCATCTAGGGGGGAGTTGTGGTAAACACTTTCATTTCTCTCAATGACATCAGCAGTGCAGACCCCAAATCAGAATAAATGAGGCTTATCCTTCAAAGAAGAGGACAATTTAGCATCTGTTTACATCAGTGATGCTAAACCTAAGGCCGTGTTTGTCTTCAGGAAAGCTCCCATGACTGTGGGGGCAGAGTGATTTGAAAGTTAGCACCTGTTCAGGAGAAACACGTCACCCACAGCTGGAACAGGCTTCTGGTTTGTTTTTGGAACACATTTTATTTTTATGAAAGGACAAACATGGCAATGATTTAAAAATAAAAGACAGTTGGAATGTTAAAAATCATGTTTGAAGACAGCAAAGTGGTGTGATGCTCGTTGGAATGTTGTATAAAAACCCGAATAAGACTTTAGTTGTCTTGTACAATTCCAGTGCCAAAAAAATATTTGGCACCAGAAAACCAACATGTCAGAGAAACATACACATTTTTCCTATTTAAAACAAAAACAAGCGGTTAATTAAAACAATGCACAAAAATGATCCACTTTTCTTTATACAGTAGACTTTCAGCTGAACGTTTACTGAAAAAAGTAAATCACAGAACAAGGAACTTATTTCAGTCGTTCTTTTTTCAATCATTTCCTAAAGATCTGTTCCATTTATGTCTAAAACAGATCACAAATGGTGAGCTGTGTTTTAGACACAGACAATGCTGGGTAAAGAGGCTCAGAAAATCTGTGCTGGTAGGAGTACAGTAAGGCAAGACTGCCCCCTGGTGTCACATTAAAGAACGATAAACTGCCCTCTTCAAAGTCCAGGAACACTCCCACTCTCTGCAGCCCATCTGCCTTCACAGGGACCGACTCCTTGCTGTGCAGCGCCTCCACCTTCTTCTTATCGCACGCCAGGCACCAGGAGTAGCTGTTGAACCCCAGCCGAGAGCTGTCCTTTTGGCCCTTCCTTTCTATCTGACCCTCACACACACCCACCTTCCAGCGGCCGTCGTCTACACACACCCTCACCTCCCAGTACCAGCGACCCCCTTTCAGGGCAGAGGAGGCCAGCACCTGAGGGAAGGAGCTGAAGCGACCTTCGTGCTCCACGTAAGCCTGCTGGGAATCGGCGTAGGCCACACTCCTGTTGTCATCGGACAGCTGCAGCTTCGGATGGGCCGTGTCCGCATCCAAGACAGGAATGGTGCCATCTGCAGGCGGGAAAAGGAAGTCATGAACCAAGAACGCAGACACATGTGTTGGTCTAAAAGGGATCATCAGTGAGGCGTGTCTTACACAGCAACCTGTAGAGGTCTCCGTCTTTGCCTGGCATGGCGAGAACGACCTTGTCCAGACGTCTCTCTGTCCATCTCTGCAGACAGTTCAGACGAGCATGGTCCACTTCTTCCACTTTTGGGGCCTCGAACAGCTCCACACAGTTCCCCACCTCATTAGTCCTGGTGAGGAAGAGTAGTCAGTGCACAACTTTAAAACGGGTAAACTTAGCACTTGTGTTTTAAATAGCCCGCAATTAGAATTTGTTTATACAAAAAGTGATGAGATAAGATTCTGCCAACTGCTGAAAGTCCCACTTGTATTAAATTAGCATCTGATGCAACAGAATCTGATGCTGTCCTTCAGGATGTTTTATAATTGGTGTCCCCTCATTATTCCTTATTTATGAAATGTGGAGCTAACAAACCACCTCCATACAGAAAACAAACTTACAGTTCAGATGTTCTGCTGTATTCCTACAAAGACAAAGAAAAACATTGTTTTTAGGAACAGAAACAGTAATTAAGCCCAAAGAGAATCCCTAGCAACCAAGAAAGCTCCAGTGACCATAATGAAGGCCTGGTCTTGAATACGTGTGTCCCCTCTGGCATCAGCCAGGTTTTCCAGTGTGTGAAGCCCACTCTGGATGGACTCCAGAGATCTCTGAAGGACACCAAGTTTCTTCTCCAGACCCCCCAAGACCCTGTTCTCCTCCTTGGTCACACACTGAAGAGCTGACTGCTCCTCTTGCTCCAGGGCCTCCCTGATGGCTCCATATTGCTGTTTCACTCTGTCTTGTGCCTCCGTTAAATCCACCTGGACAATCCAAACCACATGATGAGCAGACAGTCTCAGCTGAAGCTGTTCTGAGTCACAGAAGTGGCCTTTAAGAGGACGGGCAAGATGACCAACAACTACCGGAAATATTTATTTTGCCGATTGTGCCAAACAAAGAGGACACGGGACGTGCTTTTGCCACTCATAGACCTGGAACAGGATACAGAACCTGGAAGCTATGGTCCTCTAGAGACAACTGTACGAAGGAGGATTATTTGTAAAATGAAAAACATGGTGGACATCCTCTTAACAAGACCAGAGTGAAACATCTGAAAACGTGAGCGCAACTCTTACTCTGAAAGTTTCTTTCTTCCCCGTGAGTTCAGCGAGTCTGTTCTTAACCTTCTGTTCAGCTTCCTGCAGGTGTTTGATCTCGTCTTTCAGGTTCGTCTGGAAGTAAAAACATCCACATAGGTGAATTACAAACATATTGTATCATTAGATTGAATCAAAATCAGCCTTTGAGCGAAACAAAATAAACCGCAAATACCAGAAACTCCTTACAGAAGCAGGAAAACAATGCCCCGAAAGCATGCCTTAAACTTGTCAAAGCTAATCGCTGTAAGCCGACAGAGGAACACTCACTCTGAGCTCCGTCTCTGCCTCCCTGATGCTGATGAAGACGTGGTCCCGGTGGTAGCCGATGACGGTACACACCGTACACACACACACGCTGCACTGTCGACAGTAGATGCGGTTTATCTCCTGGTGCTCCTGGCACCTCCACAATGAAATGTCCTCCACAGGAGGAACTAGGGAATGATTCTGGAAGACTGGTGAGTCCAGATGGGGACGGAGGTGTTCTTTACACATGGACGCTCCACACACCAGGCAGGTCTTCACTGCTGGCTCACATGCAGCTTTAGGACAATAATGGCAGGGGACAGGGCTGTTGGTTTTGTTCTGAGGCCTCAGGAAGATGGAAGTGCGACTCAAGGGACCTGAAGCAGCTGCAGGACTCTTAGTAGAGCTCAAAGGTGACTTGCTGTCTTGCTGTGGTGGATCTGGTTTCCTCCCAGGATCCGAGACACCAGGATTGGAGTTAGAGCTGGCAGGCAAGATGGGCTTCTTTGGTGAGACACGAGATCCTGTCACACCCGTCTCTTTCTTGGAGGCTGGAGGATGAGGAGCGTCACACAGATCTACTTCACTGGAGCTGTCGGAGTCGTCTGATTTGTGTTGGTTCTGTGTGACCGGGAAGTCTCCGAGTTCATCGTTTGGAGGTACCTTGCTGTCAGAGCTCTTGCTGATGAATGTGCCATCACCATGTTCAGACTGTGTAGATGCTGGACTTGCTGCTACTTCAGATGTCAACACAGGAGTCGACTGCCCGGGTTTATCTGACAAAGAAGAAGTGGAAGTCCCGGTGTCAGTGAAAGGATGAGAGGGAGTTGCTTTCTTTGTGACATGCTGCTCTGAAACAGGTGCGCTGGCTTTTCTTTTCCCAAGAAGGCGGCTAGTGAGTGAAGGTCTCCTTAATTCTGAGTCCAGTGCCGATTGATTATCATTAGCAGATGTGCCTGTAGGAAAGAGCAGATTATGGTCAGAAGAAAGGTTGATTTACACTTTTACTCACAACCCAATAGGTTTTTCTCTTCAAGGCTTTTACAATAATTAGAAAATAAGACTGTATCTAAATCTAATCTAAATGTGTAACTGTAACTTTTGCTGCCTCTTGGCCAGGACTTGCTTAAAAATGAGGTTTTTAATCTTAATGGGACCTTTCTGGTTGAATAAATAAAACATATTGAGTTATTAGGGAATGGCAGATTTTTCAATTCTACAAAATAAATGAAGATGCTTTAAAACGGTAGTGAGAACTTAGTTATTACAAGCTAATTAACACATCAAACCCTTTGATCTCCCTCATGACGGTTAAGGTATTTGAGGTAATGTGTCTGACGAGGGGGCGAGTCGCTGCGAAACAGAGAGGTACTTCACTAAAACATTTCTTTTGCATTCACTAATAAATCCACCTCGAGTCCATCCAACCGGTTTACTGTTTTGTATAAGCGGTAGAAGAATGCGTTGGTCCCGAGCCTGTAATAACGCACTTCGTACTTGTTGACGTCCGCCGGGACAGCCCCCAGTATTAGCTAAGCTAACTAGCTTTAGTCACAACGGAATGTCATTTCTGGGCGATTTGAAGAACTTTTTTCCACACTCAGCTTACCTGCAGCAGTGGGAGGCGCTGCCCATTTACCCGGGACACGGGTCTGAATCAAACTTTTATCAAACGGCAGCGTCTGATACACAGTCTTGCACCTCCACTCCGGACAGTGGTATGGTCCGTTCGGGGCAACGCTCCATAAGTCTCCAATACAGCGTTGGCAGAACCGGTGGTTACATTTTAGGGTGACTGGGTCCCCAGTCGTGTCGTTACAGAGAGGACACCTGGCCGGAGTGTCCAACGCTGCCCCCATCTTGTTTAGGCCAATAATTAATCTGTTTCCGCAATGTTTGATAGAAGGGGGCGGAGCCAAAGATTTGAATTCTATTTCCGTTTGAGTGCGTCTGTGGATCAGTTGGACACACACACACACACACACACACACACACACACACACACACACACACACACACACACACACACACACACACACACACACACACACACACACACACACACACACACAAATTAAGTATAAAAATATTTAATAAATTATTAAAAATATATGTTTAAAAGAAGAAAAGAGGAAAATCAATGGATCCAGGAAAGGTGGAATAAGAGCAGAATAAGGAGAGGGGGTGATGAAGGTCATGCAAAAGCCAGCTTGAACAGGTGACTTTTCAGCTAAAGGAGACCACTGAGTCCACTGATCTCAGGCTCAGGAGGAGAGAGTCTGGGGGCCACAGCAGCAAATGATCTGTCACCCTGGGTCTTCAGTCTGGTGTGCTGCACAACCATAGGCCTAGGTCACTCACAAACATAGCATCCCAGTTACTTTTGTAACTAATTACTTTTACAATGTGGTAATTTGAGTTACTAACTCAATTACTTTTTGGAAAAAGTAATTTGTAATTATAACTAACTACTTTTTAAACGTAAGATGCCCAACACTGGTTATAAATGACTATCACTTTTCAATCCAGCAATCACATGCAGTTAGAGCAGGGCAAGCAACCCAAGGGCAAGAAGCAGAAATTCCCCTAACCAGCATGGCTGCCACAAAGAGCCCATACAATGTTTAGAAGGAGTAGAACTCAATTTCTAAAAATGCAAATACGAAACGCTGCACATTATCTTGCATGTTTCCAGACAGCTTCGATATTTCAGGATGGTGCATTACTATGGTGCGCCAACCACAGTTTATGTAAATAAAAATGTAAAATTTCAAGCTATAGGACATTTTAGTATATTTATATATAGTATATTTAGTATATTACATAGATATTTTAGTGAGATTTATTAATAAAAATGACATGTTTGTGAATGTGATACACATAATATGAAAAGTAACAAGATGTTACACATTGTGGTTTTATTTATTTAGCCAATAACACAATAAAAACTGTTTTTACTTAAAATGTGCCAAACCCAGCAAGCTACAGCTGCATGAATGAGGAAGGGAACTGGTCTCATCTATTGGTTAAAAGCTGGAACTTCACGCAAGTTCTGTTAGAAGTAGAAAGATTCTTTTTTTTATATTCAAGGCACGATAAAAAATTAATTAAAAACATGATAATAAAAAGAGGAAAGCATAAAATAAAAAAATTATACAAAAAATCAGTAGAAACTCTTACTTAAACTTTGGGAACAAGCATTTCTAGGGCACAGGTGAGTGTCTCTGTCTCTGATAAAGACACATAGGTGCCGAAACGTTGGTTCTTTTTGCACAGATTAAAATTATTTTCTGACCAGTGTGCTCCATACTCCAGCAGAAGTTTTCTCTCTGCTAAATTAAAGCAGTCCAACACAAATGCTGACAGTATTTCACCCTGAATGCAATATTAGCTAAATACATTTCCTGGTAAGAACTGACCACCTGGACTTCAGCATATGCACGACTGGTCAAAAGATACTTCACAGGTGGCTTCTGGCACATAATTTCACATCTGATGAGTGAGAGGTGGATTGAGCAAATAATTGTTGATTCAAAAGGATGCTGCTAAAGTTATTCCACTGAAAAATCTGGTTTGACTCCCCAGGACGGTCATTTAACATGAGCTGTGAGCTTTTGCTGAAATCGGAGCTCTGGCTGGAACTGGGGAAAATAGGAAGTGCTTTCACTTTTACTGAAATGGTTTTTTTTTTATAAACTTTGACCAACCAGATCTGAGAAATTTGTATAGGTGTTTACCAAGACCCCCCAGGCACCCCCCTTTCTTAGAAAGCTCATTTCGTTTTAGTAAATCTGTTAAACATTCCTCTGTTAATACAGAATACGATTGTAAACCTGTAGATTCAAATAAATCCTTTTATGAGACCAAAGAATCATTTCATTGAACGGAGTTGTCGTCTCATAGCTGCCATCAGAGACAGTTATATAATTTTATTTTGATCTGACATTCATGGTTTAAAGAATACTTTATATTAAGAAAAACATGGTTTATTTTAGGTTTGTTTAAATATACATTTAAATAGTTTTTTTGTTTAATTGTTGTTTGAGGTGGAACTAATGCTCTATATGTTGTTGTGGTCCGGTCTGTAATTGTGACGCACTTCAGTCAGCAGAGGGCAGTGTTCATGTGCCTGTTAAGGCAGATGAGACCATTTACTGCAGGATGTAACCTTTCCTAACCCATTTGAGTTAATGCGGCCAGTGAAGTACGAAGGTTTCTGTTTTATGCGGATAAGTTGCTAATTAGACAATTAGACATCATTGTTTTGTGATAATATGCGGGGATCAAATAATTTCAAGGTGGTATGCGCCCGCACAACCCTCAAAACTCACTGCATATCCAGAAGATGTGTTAAGCTTTGGAATGATTTAGATGACAACTTACAGAGTGCTGCTAGTCTACTACTATTTAAAAGACAATAAAAGATGACTGTTATTGAGAAATATGTTGAGAATATGTGATGGAAAAGCTTCTTAGTTTTATTCTGACTGTGTGTTATATAAAAGAACAGTACAAAATATAAAACTGAATAACAAAATATGCATGAAAGGTTCATTAACAAAACATTTACTGTCAAAAAGTCTAATATTGTAAATAGTATAATATTGTAATGTGGGGAAGGCGCACATACGCTTTGCTTCAGCCTACTCCATTTGAGCATTGCTGTTGTAATGTTGTGAAATTTGAAAGAATACAACAAATGTAACTGCTCAATGAATGTGCTAAATAAATAAAATAAAATGTTCTAAAGCCAATTTTTAGAGTTAGTAAGACATTTTATGGTCTAAAATGTTTGTTTATTCTCTGTGAGAATGTGTACATTTTATTAAACAGAATATTTTTGTGGTATTTGTACAGTTCCCACGGCACGGTTGGTGGCACGGATGTGTTAATAAATCCAGTTAACATAGAACGCCTTGTGTCCATGATTCAACTTGGAGGGAGTTACACTCGTCTTCTGCACGGACCTTGGTGTTGCAGCTTCTTGTAAATAGTGGCCGAAAAGAAGTCAGGAGAAGGAATTTTATTATGGCTTCCCTTCTTGGTAGCAAGGTCACAGAGCAGTGGGAAGCACACGGTTAACCCCTTGGCGCACCGGTGAAGCAGTCTGTGGACAAATCAATGTCTGGTGACCTCTGACATTAGAGTGGACAAATAATTTTGATCATCTCCAATGCTACACCTAACATAAAACAACTGTTCTGCATAGAAAATACATGAAAAATTTAGAAAACTTTTTAGACCGAGGTTTTGAAGATGTTCTGATGTCCAGAAGCGTTTGAGTGGCGGTATCATATCAACACAACCTTGAAACTTAACAGCAAATGAAAAGAAGCGGTTGAGCGAGACGAGCTGCTGTGATCAGTGACACCAACCTCTTAACAAAAATAAAACTACAACTGAGATTTACAGTGAAAACCTTTATTAAGTATTCATATTTTCAGAAATGAATTTCTTTGCTCTAATTCATATCCCCATTTTTTATATTAGCTTATCAATATCTACATGTATTCATATTTACAAGAACATCTTCACTTTGAGGCTGGGACAGGCCTTACAAACGTCTTCTGACTTGAGTTCATCTCCCAGGCACATCTACTGCTCCGTATTTAAGCTTCGGCTGCACCGCGTTACCCTGTATGTCCCAACTAAACAAATGTGGTCATCGAAGAGAGAAGAACAGTGAGACAAGGACAGAAAAAAGTACACAACAGAACAACGTGTGTGTGTGAAGCTGGCACCTCGGCTCGCTAGCCCAATGAACTATTACACACATCACACTCAGAGCAAGTGTGTGTGTGTGTGTGTGTGTGTGCATGCACTCATGAAAACAGACACACGTAGAGAAACACACTCACGTAGCAGCAACGAGTCCTGCAGCTTTCAGTTCTAATAGCCACCTTCACAGTGTGGACATACAAACTACAAAACATTCCTCTCAAACTGAAGCACTGTGCAAAGTTAGCTAGCAGGGCATAGAATTACTTCTGTTAAAATCACTTGAAATATTCTCTGTACACACTTTGTAATTCAAGTTTAAACATTACTCCTAAAAGCAGTTTTAAATACATGTTTATTTTACTGTAAGGGGGAGAAAGTGGCATGTGAGCAAGAGAATCATGAAAATTTCTTTGTCAAACCTAAACACTAGATTTACACAAACCCAATAATATTCAGAGTAGTTTTTTTGTCAAATAAAACATGAAACTTCTGACTGTGACACAAAGATAACTGCTAACATAGGTTAATATTTGTAATTACATAATCTACAAAGGTATTGTTTGAATGTACTGTGTGTGTGTATGTGTGTGTGTGTGTGTGTGTGTGTGTGTGTGTGTGTGTGTGTGTGTGTGTGTGTGTGTGTGTGTGTGTATGGGTGTGTGTGTGTGTGTGTGTGTGTTTGTGTTGACCATACATTTTCATCTAAAGAATAACAGTCTCTGCCCTTGTCAGGGTTGCCAAGGGTTTCCTTCCTTTTGACAAGAAGTGCAGTGGGATCCATCTAATTGCTGGGACTAATGTAGAAGAGAATGGACTTCAAACAGGTCACATTGTTCAGCAGGAAGTAGAAGGCAGCCTGATGGGTTTGATAGAGTTCTACTTCTGCACAAATCTGGAATGCCTTTTTCCTGTGAGATGTAGAAAGATCTGTACTTTGACTAAAACGGACTCTTTGAAATTAAGGAACCTGCAAGGAAAAAGTAAAATAACAATAATGAACCTGTTGTTTCTTTATCTTCTTTGTAAATTTGAAACAATTACAAATAGATTTCATCAAACCAATATATGTCCTGCATGGGCAGTTTAGCTCCAATTGTTGCAGAGAGTATGACGCAATACATATGAATGCTCTTGCATAAAATGAAGCAAGATTGCGCGTGCATTTTATTCATATAAAACTAGCTGCAGTTTTGCCTTTACAAAATATCCAATGTACATACATGATGTTTTTTCTATAAACCACAAAATGACAATGAAAATACCAGCTCAGTGACCTAGTGGTAGCGTGTCCGCCCTGACTGGGAGGTCAGGGTTCAGTTCCTGGTCAGGTCATACCAAAGACTTGGAAAAAATGGGACCCAATGCCTCCCTGCTTGACACTCAGCATTAAAGGGTTGGATTGGGGGGTTAAACCATCAAATGGTTCCTGAGCCCGGGTGTGTCTGCAGCTCACCACTCCACCAGGGGATGGGTTAATTGCGAAGAACAAATTTCGCACACACATTAGTATGTGTGACAACTGATGGGACTTTGACTTTGAAAAAGCATAAATTAAAACACTTTTACTCATATATTTATAGTTGTCCTTGTTCAGAGGAAAGGGACCTTTACATTCAATTATACTGACTTTAGGCTAATGTGTTGTGGTGAATGGAAAGGGGGAAGCAGATATGAAAAAGAAAAGATGGTGGACAGATGCATCTCTGTCCTTAAACATACCTTTTCTCTGGGTTAGGCTTTACCACCCTCTGTGAAAGAACACAGAAACAGAGAGAAATACTGAAAACACCATTTGAGTATTGCAGTTTTCTCAAATTGCAGATACACAGTGTTTGCATGTGCTGCACACAATCACCACCAGATGGTGCAAGGAATGAGCTAAATCTGGAAATGGTAAATGAATTGTGTTTATAAAGCATTTCCTAGCTTTTCTGACCACTCTCACACACACATTCCTGCCCCCAGTTTGCAGATCGACGGGGACACAAGGTATCTTACCCAAGAACACTGAAATTTGGTGAGGGTGCTGGGATCAAACCACTAGATTTCCATCTGACAGGTGACCACTCTAGCCCCCCAGCCACAGACAGTATTACAAGAATCACCCAGATTGAGTTTAAATGCATCAGACTGCTATTAGGGAATGTGGCTGGAGAAGAAGCTGACAGTATTTTATGTTTTTGGTATTTATCTCTCCTCATTAACTGAATTGAAGCAGTAGTGGACAACCTTTTTTTTCTGTCTAAGCCTCTCTGTGTTCCTCATTACTTTTTACTCCTCAGCCCCCTTTAGCAGACTGGTTAATCCCCTTCTAGCTTTGTTACTGGTGGAGTAAAGTAGTTGGGATGTAGCAAACCAACTATGGAAAAGATGACAGTTTGCTGTGGTTCACTGAGAGAAATAAGATGTTTATTGGACTGTCTGAGCCATCTAAAATAAAACGTACACATGTCTTAACCGGATTCAAACCCTGTTCTAAATTAAGCTGATCTCTTTTTAGAAGCTGCTTTATAAACTACACCTGGTCATAAAAAAACAGGAGTGCATATAATCCGTGGTTCTGCTCACAACGGCTGTTTGCCAGAAGGGTTTCAGTTTTATTGCTTCCCTGATCTGTGTGCCCTTTCTATTTTCAGCCTGTTCAAAGTCATGAGCTGTAATAAAACCAGCGACCATTCCTGAGATTAACATATTCCTATTTTATGTAAGCATATGCATTCGTCTGTTTCGTGGAACATGGCCTGGATTAAGAAAGCACTTAATGGTAATTCATCTGGATCTACTCAGCCAGTGAATAATGAAAGTATTCCACATTAATGAGATTTATAACCCAATAAAACACAAATGAATGGAAAGTTAAGCGAGACCAGGTACTGATTGTAAAGACTAATTAAATAGAATGCATTTAATTTACAACCAAACCAGTATTATATTGTATTAATATATTATATTATATATTAATATATTATATTATAATATATTATATTATATACAATATAATATATATTGTATATAATATAATATATTAATATATTATATTATATATTAATATATTATATTATAATATATTATATTATATACAATATAATATATATTGTATGAATAATAATAATAATAATAATCAATCAATCAATCAATCAATCAATCAACAAAGCTGCTCAGAATGAAAACTTCTACAAGGGGAAAATCCCTGCTGTCTTTTTGCTGAACCCACCAGGATTCCTGATGTCTGACAGGGTATTTTAAATAAAACTTTGTGCCCCTTTTTACTCACACTTTTTATTTGAAGCTAAAAAGTTTCATATGAACTTCATCTATCCAGGATCAATCTGTCAAATGGATCTGAACTAATTAGGCAACTAGAAGAAATCATTTTATGGTGATTTCTGCATGCAGAAGTGGTGCAGATTCTGATTCCAGATCATTTTAAGTGTGTTAGCAGTGCAGCACTGCATCGATCCAAACCGATCCTCTTGACAATGCTAAGTGAGACGGTGATTAGCCACCATTCATTTAAAGTTTTATTGGTGTCTCAGACCTCAATTAGACCTCCATCATTACTTCTGAAGACAGTTACTTAATGACACTATAACTGCATGAATAAGTTAAAATTTATTTCTGCGATTAGTTCATCGTCCACTGAGTTAAACGTGGACTCATTCAGTTCCAGTTGATCTAAAGTTGGTTAGGCTGATTGAAATCCCCTGGACTAGTTGCTGAAATGAAGAAAAACACAGCATGGAGATGACTTGTTGATGCAACAATTCCCCATCTCTGCCTCAAAGAGACACATAAAACACCGCCATTCAAAGCTCATCCTCACCCTTGCTTTCAGCCAGCAGCTCCTCTGTCATGAGTCCATCCTGCCTGTTCCCCAGGACAAAAGCCAGGAAGGACAGAATCAGGGCATCCAGGATACCCATGATTGCCAAGATGTAAGCCCAGCGCACAGAGCAGGCCCCCAGGCTGTATTTGTCTGTTTGTTCTCCGCACATTCGCCGGACCTCGTCGCTGTCCCAGCCATCCGGGTAGATCATACAACCCAGGACCAGACAGACACCTAAGCAAGGGAGGATGACAGAGCAAAGGGTTGGTGACATCATCGAAAGGTGGGACACATTACTTAATGGGATGGATGATCATTTGAAAACGTGCATGCTCTTTCTAAATGTTCCACCCAAAGAAAAAACTTTTGTTCTGCATCTCCAACTTGCATGAGGATTTCCTTTAATGCTTTCTGCAGCAGCAAAGCAGAAAGCGTACGAAAATAAGCTGAGTGTACATTTAGCCAGAGTGCACAATGCATTAATAATAAAACACGCCCTGGGTTTTTTTCTGGTTAATTCCTGAAACATTTAGTTGCTTTCAGAGGCTGACGTTTCTACTCATAGAACCTACAAGCTGCATGTTTGATTAAACAGAAATCTATGCCTATGTTTGCAGGAGTGAGAACATTTATGCTGTCTACTCACTCACACACACGTCATCCGTATGTATGCACGGCTGCACAAAAACTCTGCAGTTTATTAGCTTACTGCAGCTCCTGAAATATCAATAATTAAGATATCTTTCACTGAGAGAAGGGAGAAAAGGAAAAACTACAGGCCCATATAAAAGCTCAAGACTTCACAGAACACTGATAACCATGAACTGGAGATTCATTTTCTTTCTTTTTCTTCATCATTGCTGATTTTAATGCACACAGAGCACAGATGAAAAAATAAGGGTTCTGCACTATTGCTTTTGTCAATTTATAATTTTTATTGCAGCATAAAAATCTATTTAATTGCTTCAAAGCTGATTTAACAAACAACACATTGTTATTTAATAAATAGAGGTTTATATACCATTCTAACAATATGCTGTGTGCAGTTAATTTCTAGTCTTCTGTTAGTGTTTATCAGTTTTCTAAATGTGTAAACATAAAACAAAAGACAGTTGAAATCATTAGTTCTTTTTGTTAAAAGTAAGATTTGATGCATGATGCACGAAAATGGCTTCATTTGTTCAAATAATTCATTTTTAATTGGCATTTTTGCACAAATTTTTTGCATCAAACTGGGAAAAAAGTAGATGGGAGACGTTCTGTTTAGGGATTTCTATAGGTCACCATCAGTAACTTGAATCTGATGCGGATGAGCGTAGCCCATTGAGCTGGGGTGTCGTTTTGGACCATATACAGAAGATTCATGGTCCATGCTGGGAGACCTGTCAGAAGGACCTTGCTGTATGGAGATAAACCTGTTTTCTAGCCTTGTCGTGCTGTTTTGTGATTATTTGAATACAAGCATCATTACTGATGCTTTCTGGACATTTACATGAACTAATATCTCCAGTAAGAGTCCACATCACTACACATTTAGTGTATTGTTAGTTATTATGTGAAACATTCTCTGCACAGAGGGAATACCAAGCAGGCCAATTTTGTAAAGCCTTTGCACATCCATAGCCTTTCCACCTGTCAGGTGCCTTTACGAAGCTAACGCAAGCTTTTCTAGCTGCCTCCCTTAAGCCTTGGGTATGATTCAATACAATCATGAATTTTACATTGAGGCTCAAGAGGAGAGAGGAGAGCCCCACAGAAATCAGAGCTGGTGAGAGGAAAGGATGCATAATGAAAAAAATATCAGAAAGCATGCAGGGAAGATACCAAAAGAGAACAGGAGTCATGGAGGAATATATCAACCATGGTCTCTTCTGAATATCGTTCCCTCAAAAACTGGCAGATAAACATCTGTAAGGGAGGCTCTGGCAAAGATCAGTCCAACGGGAGAGCACATCTGCTACTTTTGTGTTTAGAAACAGCTTGTAGTAAAAGGCAGAGCACATACTGAACATCCACTATGATCACTCAATACAAAACAAACAAAAATGTCCAAATAAGTAAGACCAGAGCACAACTTCAGTGTGTGTCATGACCAGAAAAGGATTTTTGCTTTTTTTCACTTTCAAAATGAGTCTGGTTCTGAAACGGGCACGTAAACTCAACATTTTAGTAAGATATAAGCCTGGGTAGATGCACCTGCTCGGCTCTGATGCAGAACTTCACGCTCAGGAAAAAAATGCTGAGTTGTGGATTTTTCACTTTACAGAAATAACTGCACACCTGACCTGACAAAATGCATCCATCAGAGCTGAGACGACACATTAACCGACTGTATTATTTTATCCTGTCAGTTTCTGCTCTTCTTTTCCCTGCTGGAGGAAATCAGCTGACAGGTGCAGCAAAAGAAGACAGGACAAAACAGAAACACACAGATAGTGTGTGTGTGTGTGTGTGTGTGTGTGTGTGTGTGTGTGTGTGTGGGTGTGTGTGTGTGTGTGTGTGTGTGTGTGTGTGTGTGTGGGTGTGTGTGTGTGTGTGTGTGTGTGTGTGCACGTGAATGCATTGATGTGTGTGTGTTGGGAGGTGAGGAGTGGACCTGAGCCAGTCACCGGCCTCCTGTAGGACCTCAGAAACATTACAGAACCACTCCATGCTGGATCCTTATGGCAGAGTTATATTTTGAAGCTTATTTAGTCTTTCTGCTGTCTCTCGCTCTGCCTGGGAACACTGGGGGGTGAGGCAGTTGGGAACTGGAGAGAAAAAGGCTGGCTGCTTATATAAGAGGCTGCAGGTAGAGCAGATGAGGTGCAAACAGCTCTGCAGGGATGTCTGACAGGACACCAGCAGATGGCACAAAGCGGCCTGATGGCTGTGGGTTTGTCAAGAGCACATTGGCTCATTTTCGAAAATCTCGTCCATACCAAAAGAGTCCTGTCGTCTTCAAGAATCCCTGTGTGCTGTTTGAGAGTGACGAAGATGAGTGGAGGTCCATGGTGACCTCAATAACAGCAGCCTGATTGGATTTGTGCACCTGGTTTACCAACAAAGACAAACATCACTGTAATCTGTTTAGCTCTGTTGGTGTAGACGCAGCAGCATGTGTGTGTGTGTGTGTGTGTGTGTGTGTGTGTGTGTGTGTGTTTAACACAGTTATTGGCTTGCGAGGGATTTGGGCTGCATGTGTTGTGAGCCTTTTCTTTCATTATTCACACATTCACAAAGCCATGAAAATGAAATCCCATTTCTTCACTCGCACTTTTCTTCATGGATCTTCTTGTCTCCTCATAAAAAAATAAAAAAGGACTCAATTAGGCATGTACATCATTCACCTCGGTCTAACAATGCTCACGGATTTTGCTCCACCACACACACACACACACACACACACACACACACACACACACACACACACACACACACACACACACACACACACACACACACACACACACACACACACACACACACACACACACACACAATTGGCTGCTCTCAAAGCATAAAACAAAATAAAATAAAACAGAAAACACAAAAGGCATGATAGTTTGGACAATCCAACTAAAGCGCAGAGAAAAGATTCCTTTCTATGGGTTTGAAGGCAGGAGGTTGTGCATGTGACCGCTAGAGTTTCAGGGTTTGACAGTCGGAGGGAGGAGACTGTTACAGAAGGTGTTTATTCATTGGAGCCTCCTGATGACGACAGAAGGCTAAATATTCCATGAGAGGGATGGTAGGGAGGAACTTCTGTAGAAGCTGTTTGCACGCAGCAGGTGAGAAAAAGGTTTAAAATGGACTGGAGAGCCAACTTATGATTATTTAAGGTTGCAATGTATTTTTTTATTTCAAGCACTGCAGTTGCCAAACCACACCCTAAGTCAGTACACCCGTCACTGAGCCCTTGTAGGTGGGGAGAATCAGAGGTCAACGGTAAAATCATTTTCTTGTCACAGAGTTGGCATTGCTGGTTCAGGGAAGGTTGATAAAGATGTTCAGGATGAAAAATCGTGTTTGCACAAACAAAATAAAATAAAAAATGTACAAAGAAATCAAAAATAAAATGAAATATCAAAATAGAATAAGACAACAAAAATAAAGCAAAAGAAAATGTCTTTACTATTCACAGACTATTTCACTGACTGAGTATGACAAGGTATCAGAAACATAACAAAAATTAAAAATCTGTTTTGCTGACCGTTCACCTGAGTGTTTTACTCTATCCCAATTAAAGTTCATTTGAATCAACACAAGTTGGATTTAATATTTTTTATTTACGTTTTTACAGTTTTTCTCCATTGGTTTGGCTCATTTCTTGAAACAGAAATTACATTCTCAAAATAACATGGACACTCCTCCAAACCTCTTGGCAAATGTTCACAACAGAGTGGCATTTCTCATTCATTTTATCAAATGGCAAATGCCTTAGTACATGTCTCAATTGTCTCAGTGCATCTTTGCAAATGATTAAGTACATGTAGCCTACCGCTATACAGTTAGCCCAAATTTAGCACATTTTCCAAATAAATAGATCTTGTAGATCTAAACTATTAGCTGATTCTCAATCTAATGATCATTCTCTCCAAAACATGTCAGCATGATTTCATTGTATAAGTACTCGCATGCACAACTGTCTGTTCAATTGTCAGAATTGGTCAAGAACATGATACCATGATTACCAAATATGAATTTCTTTGAATATTTGATACATTGATGACAGTCATTGACAGTCAGGTGAAACTAGACTAACCAACGGGGAGTGTCTCACACAGGTGTTTTCCATGATCGTGCGTTGCCAAACACAGATATAGAGCTTGACCAGCGCCAGTCCGATATCTGAACATGGATAGACATGGCCAAGCAAATGGACAAGGGGAAGTACTTCCTCAAGCAAGAGGAGGAAGATGAAGAAGAAGAAGAGGAGGACAGAGAATGCGTGGTGGAGGAATAGGGGGAGGAGGCCGAGGAGCGGGAAGTCACTCTGCTGTCCGAAATGAAATTCGGGCCACAATTATAGACCATGTCATAAACCATGACCTCACAGTGGCAGAGGCAGGCCGTCGAGCGCAGCCTAATGTGCCTCGCTCTACAGTCTCCTCCATCATCCAAACCTTTTGCAGGGTAAACAGGTTTGTACTCTATGTAATCTATGATGGAATTATATGTTGTATCGGACAGGGCACTGTGTGTGAGGCAAAAAAAAAAGTATAACTTACTGTAGAGATTTTGTGTGCATACAA